TCTGGTGGGGATATGGATTGGGAGGGTGCATGAGGGAACTTTTTGCAGTGTTGGAAACATTCCCTATGTGGCCTGAGGTGGTGGTTATAGAAATGCCTATATATGTAAATAATTATCAAGCTGTCCATTTAAAATGACTGCACCTTATGTACTCTGATGAATGTATGTTGCACTTCTATTTTTAAAACATGAAGAGAAATGCAGATTCTCATGTCCAAGAGAAGTAATAACAATAATAATTTACGGAGCACCCAATGTACACCCAGTTGCTTTATAGAGATTAATTTGCTTTAATCCATCTAAACCACTTGTCAAAAAGTTATCATTTTCTTGTTGCAGAGGAGGAAACTGAGGCTTAGAGAGGGAAATAGCTTGTCTGAGTATCACAGCTGGTAAGTGTCGGAGTCAGGACTTGAACACCGTATTCTGCGTGGTTGCCACTTGGCTTGGGATCTGGAGCGTGAATCCTGGTGCAGCATCAAAGCTCTCCGTGGTGCCTGCTACTCCCCCAGGGCATCAGCTGTTGTCCACACCATTCTTTAAAGAGAACTTCATTGTGTGAGCCCCAAGTTCCCCTACCTTCTTCCAAACAAAAACATGGACTGGGAAACCCAGCCCCTTTATGAACCCTTTCCATGAATTTGTTCCAATCAGGAAAAGAGCCCGCAGCTTCCTCCCAACCCGGTTAGTCCTAACTGTTCTGTGTTGTGAATTCTCTGAGAATGAAAGGGGATGGGCTAGAGCTGTCAATATTGTGAGCCAGGCTTGAGCTCCAGCTGTGATCCTTTTAAAAAGTGAAGCTCTTGGGTAATTATTTAACTTCTCAGAGCCTTTGTTTCCTGGTCTGTGAAAAGTGACAGTGGTAGTTCCCTCCAGTCTCACAGTGAGAGTTAAGTGCAGTCATACGTAAGAAGTGCCCAGCTCAGCGACTGGTTCATAGCAAGTGTGCAATAAAGGGTATCGTAGAACCGTCAAAGCTGGCTGGGTGCAGCCAGCCTGTAATCCCAGCACTTTGGGAAGCTGAGGCAGGAAGATTGCTTGAGTCCAGGAGTTCAAGACCAGCCTGAGCAGCATAGTAAGACCCCCATCTCTTAAAAAGATAAATATATAAATAAATAAATAAACAAGCTTTCACTTTCCTTCACTTTGGCCTGATTCCTTCTAAGCCTCTTAAAGAGGCTTAGCACCTTTCCCCTCTAAATGATTCAACACATATTTGGAAGTTATGTGAATGGTTTCTTCACAAAGTATAACATATAGTGAATAAATGGATCTGCATTTCAGCACTTCAGCAAGAAAAGGAGGGCATTTTGAACAAGGGTTGTCAGATGGAGAGTATGATTTGGATGAGTCTTCAAAACTAGGTAGGATTTAGTCACAGATAGAGAACCAGGAAGGTCATTCTCAATTAGGGGGAGGGTGGGAGGTAGCTCCTAGGAGCCAAGGTGAAGTTTGGGAAGGGTGAGCAGGTGATTTTGGCTGGTGCTTGAGACTTGTGTAGGGACTAATGGAAGATAAAGCAGGAAAAGAGGCCTGGTTCCAGGTGAGGTCCCATTAAGAAAGCTGAATTTTTTTTTTTTTAGGCAGAGTCTTGCTCTGTTGCCCAGGCTGGAGTGCAGTGGTGGGATTGTGGATCACTGTGCAACCTTTGCCTCCCAGGTTCAAGTGATTCTCCTGTCTCAGCCCCCTGGGTAGCTGGGATTGCAGGTGTGTGCCACCATGCCTGGCTAATTTTTGTATTTTTTTTTTTTTTTAAGTAGAGGCAGGGTTTCAGCATGTCGGCCAGCCTACTCTTGAACGCCTGACCTTAGGTCATCTGCCTGCCTTGGCCTCCCACACTGCTGGGATTACAGGCGTGAGCCATTGTGCCCTGCCCAAAAGCTAGATTTGTTTCAGTCGGAAAAGGAGCTGCTGAGCTTTCTTGAGCACAGGAGGTATAAGATGAAGCCAGGGCATGCAGGCCCACGTGGGAGGTGAGAGAGGCCAAGCCAGGAGGCCCCTGAGAGGACAACGGGGATGAGTTGGGTGTGACTCAGGGAGGAGCACTGGGCTGGGACAGAGGCGTAGGCAGGCTCTGGGAGCCGGGGAGGGAAGGTGAAGGGCTATGAAGTGTCAAAGCCAATTCATGCTCAGGTTCATGAAGGAGAAAGAGGAAAGGGAAGAGAGAAAGTCAGCTGGGCCGTGATAATGAAAGGATGTCTTAATGGCTGAGGCTAGAGGCGGCAGATGTTTTCGTGGTTCCTACCTTCCTCTGTTGTTTGAATGTTCGGGAACACACTGTCCTCTTCTGGTCTCAGGTTTGTATGGGGGGGCAGCAAAAGGACAGACACAGGCTTTCTGCAAGCGTCCTTTCCACGCCTGCCGCGTAGAGACCACACAGAGGGAGGCATGGCACGACCGAAAGACACCCAACAGCAGGACTGTTTAAATCGATCCCTTCCACAGGCCAGCATGTGTTTAGATGCCCGAGCAGGGAGTGCGGGACCTTTTTTCAGTTTGTGCAAAGTTAACGAACCGTCTTCGGATTTTACAGTGAGATGCAAACAGTGTTTTGAATTAAAATCTCTGTTCCTCCCCCCACCCCCCAGGGCCGTAGCAGTGGCCAAGAAGAAAACCACCCCCTTAAGGTTGTTTTTGTGACCGTTCTTTGGAGCATTGTTCTAAAAATGGGAAATGACATCTCGCTGTGCCAAGGGAAACAAGCACCTGCAGTTGAAGGAATACCTTCCACTAGGCGGCTTGCGGAGCCTGCGCGGTGACAGCTGCGGCCGCGCCGGGCCAGGGCTGCGCAGAAGCTCTGCTTGGTGCATTTCTTTACCTGCCAGGGGACAGAGGGTGGGCTTAGGTTTGGGACTAGAGGGGCTTTGGCAACTACGGGGCTCAGGTGATTATCCTTCGCTCATTCATCCAATAAACATTTATCAAGCATCTATTCTTGTGTCAGCCTCCGGTTTTCTCTGTTCCCTTCCCGGGCGTTGTGAAAATCCCTGGGAGGGGTGATCACAGGCAGCAGCTTGCTGTCACTATTTTTTTTTTTTTTCCAGTTTTCAGAGTCAGCGCATGGCTGCTGCCTCCACATGACTGAGAACCTGGGCGTTTTCTCTCCTTCCTCTCTTATTTCTCCCTCTTTCTTACATCCCTTGCTCACCCTTCCCTTTCTCTTTCCTCTTTATCAAAAATCGGAGAAACTTTTTTTTTTTTTTTTTTTTTGAGACAGTGTCTCACTCTGTCACCCAGTCTGGAATGCAGTGGTGTGATCCCAGGTCACTGCAACTCCGCCTCCTGGGTTCAAACGATTCTCGTGCCTCAGCCTCAGTAGCTGGGATTACAGGCGCCCACCACCATACCCGGCTAATTTTTGTATTTTTTTAGTAGAGACGGGATTTCACCATGTTGGCCAGGCTAGTGTCAAGCTCCTGCCCTCAAATGATCCACCTGCTTCAGCCTCCCAAAGTGCTGGGATTACAGGCCTGAGCCATCAAGCCCCACCAAGAAATGTAGTTTTTAACATGCCAATCGATACAGTTCTTCAGGCACATGCCTTTTCAAAGTTTCCTGTCACTGCGGGTCAGTTTAATTCTTATGCTATGGTGGTAGATGTTAAAGGATAATTTTCGATTACTGAGGCAGAGTTTCACTCTTGTTGCCCAGGCTGGAGTGCAATAGTGCCATCTTGGCTCACTGCAACGTCTGCCTCCTGGGTTCAAGCAATTCTCCTGCCTCAGCCTCCTGAGTACCTGGGACTACAGGCACACACCACATCCAGCTAATTTTTGTGTTTTAGTAGAGACAGGGTTTTACCATGTTGATCAGGCTGGTCTCGAACTCCTGATCTCAGGTGATCTGCCTGCTTTATCCTCCCAAGGTCCTGAATTACAGGTGTGAGCCACCACGCCTGGCCTCCTTCCTTTTTTCTATCTATTAGCCATTGTTGTCTTTTCCAAAAGGCCTCCCCTTTCCAAACCCCAATACCATTCTGTTTTGCCTCCTGTTATGCGCCAAATTCTGTCCCCTCCCAAATTCACAAGCTGAAATGCTAACCCCCAGGACCTCAGCATGTGCGTGTATTTGGAGATGGGGCCTTTAAAGAAGAGGTGATTAAAGTTAAATGAGGTCATTGGGGTCCACTCTAGTCCAATATGACAGGTGTCCTCATAAGAAGAGGAGGTTAGGACGTATAGCGACAGGCGGCAGGGCTGTGCATGTACAGAGGACAGACCACATGAGGACCCAGCAGGAAGATGGCCAGCTATTACACAAGCCACGGAGAGGCCTCGGGAGACACCAACGCGGCTGCTCCTTGATCTCAGACTTTCAGCCTCCAGAACGGAGAAAATATTAATACATTTCTGTTGGTTAAGACACTTCGTCTGCGGACTCATGTTGTGGCAATCCCCAGCGAATACACCTGCTAACAAAATCCTTGTTCCTAAAGGGGCAGTTGTTGCATGTCGAGGTTTTTAAGGACAGAAACTCCATCGGGGCCTAGCCACAGTTTCTGTATTTGTCCATAACATCCTTAAAGCAAAACACCGAGAACTGCAGTTTTTCTTTACCTTCCTTTCATCATCACAGTAATCTACTTTATAGATGAAACACTCTTAAAAGTTAATTTGCGCAGGGTCACCCAGGTAGTGAGAAGCAGGATTCAAACTCACTTCTGCCCCTAAGTGCCATTTCTTTCTCTCTGGTTTGGAGCAGCTGACACAGCCCCAAGGAGGGTCTGGGGACAGGAGCCAGAACTGCGCACCTCTGTCTGGGGTGAATATTGGCAAACTGCAGGAGGACTGAAGCCATCAACCCTAACATGGTTTGGCTTCTTCCTTAAGCCACTCAGAAGTTCAGTTCCTGGGAAAAACTGACATGTCCTCCACAAGGGGAAAGGTACCACCCCCCACACCACCCCTATCTCAAGGTTTTTTTGGTACGTCGGACTTGAGACCAAGGGGACAGCTCGTGTGCCTTCTGGTCTTTGTCAACAGTGACTCCCAACCACACTCTTACTCTTTCAAAATACATTTTATTAGCAGCACATGGAATGTAAAAGTTAGGCAATTTCTTTCCAGAGAGAAGGTGAACCCTGAGACACTAAAAACCTGAGCATGGATATTACAGTGGAATTACATTACATGTCGCATTTCCAGTGTAACAGGAGATAAAGGGGAATATTGTCCCCAAGGAAATGACTTTCTTCAGCATGCTGACCACACTGCACAGCGCCCGATCCAGCTGCTGGGGATGGGGAGGTGGGAAGAATCTCAAAGCACAAAACAGGATGAGGACGCAGGAAGTCATGGGATCAGCCCTACAGCGGTCGGCTCCTGTCTGTTGTTGGAGAGGCTGTGAGTTCCGTCACTCGCTATACGAGGACCAGAGGGTGTTCGGCAGGTGGAGTCTGGCTCATGGGAGAACACTGAGGGAGGCTCATCTCTGAATCCAAGAAACTTCACGGAATCCCACAGCGCCTCCATTATGACCTTCCATCTCCAGGTTAGGGAGCTATGGTTTCTTTGGGAGTATCTGGGTCCTTTGGAAATATCTGGAAACATTCAGATAAGTCAGCGAAGATCTGAACTTTCTTAGGAAAATCAGTTTAGTCTCTCATACATAGAGTATTTCCCTTAAAGGATTTTGGTTCTTTTCCCTGATGTTCTTGTGCACCCAGGCTGGCATACAGTGGAGTACCTATGGCTCACCTCAGCTTTGACCTCCCAGGCTCAAGCAATCCTCCTAATACAGGCATGTGTCTCGTGACTTCAGAACCCACCCCTCAATCAAACATTCAGATGATTATTAAGGCAACAAAGCAAGTGATAGGCTGCACAATTTGTTTCCATTTCTAGATATAATTGATTAGGCTGTGTCTCATGAGGAGACTGTACCCTTCCTCTAAGCTAGCATCTGGAACACAGTCTTCCAGGGACTTAGGCCAGGTCTTTGATGGTAGTTTCGCCAGGATCAATTCCAAATTGCAGCTTGCCGTCCTTGGCGGCTGCCCAGGGCATGGAGGTGGTGGTCCACTTCGCCACCCAGTCTCCTGTCTTGCTAACCAAGATGAGGCCACCTAAACCTTTGACTCTTGACTTCATATAACCCAACGATAGGTCCGCAGCCTCTTCTACCGTCTTTCCTGAAAATAAGGAAGGGTTGAGAAAAAACACGTTACTAAACGGAATCTCCTGGGAAAATCACTTGCAGTTAGAAAGGCCAAAGTGAACTAGGAAGAATTTGTGGTAAATGAACACCTGAACGCTTAAAAGGAGGGTCCTCCCCTCCTTGCCCTGAGACAGCGCCCTAGCATCAGCCCAAGCAGAGGGGTCTTCCCTCCCTCTCTCAGGCTCAGTGTCTCTCCACTGCCCCCTTCTCCTGAGATGTGGAAGATAACAGTACTCAATGCTCTCCCATTCCAGACCTAAGGGAAGGTGGAGAGTCAAAACACAGCTTTAACGACCTGAAAACAACATCTGCAGCCAACAGGAAAGGATTTCCTACACGTCTCCATGCATTTACTTATCAAATACCTTCTAAGCATTTGTCTTCACAAATTATTTGACTTATCCTGTGGTCTGTGTACCTTGTTCCATGTGGTACAGAGTGAGTCTGGCCAGGTTCACCTTCAGGATGCTTTCCCCGTGCCCTGTGGTTGAGATGGCTCCGATGTTACTGTCAGCATAACCTCCGGATCCTGCTCAAAAAGGGTGATTGTTCTGAGCATTCACAGTCAAGAAATTCAAATCCATATCAGAAGTTGGACGCTATGTGAAAATTAAATCGCAAAGGGCGCTCAAGTATAGACGAAGGTCAGGTTAGCAGCCATGATCCACAGACAGTAAGGTGGACTAGAAAGCACCATGTAGATGCCCCAGAATGGAGGAGGATAAAGGGAGCCTCAGGAGGGCAGGCCTGACCTTCACAAGCAGCTACAGCAGGACAGCGTCTCCTTGGCCCCGAAGCATAGCCATTCCTTTCTGCTCAATGAAGCCCCCCTTCCCTGCCTCCTCCTCAGGCCCCACACACTATGGAGGAGAAAGAGCGTGACTGCATTACATGGATCTCTAGCAAGGCCATCAGGTTCCAGTGATTTTGGGAAAACGGATACCCACAACCTAACATCCGTGCACACTGTCCAGTGGAGGGCAGCTCTATGCGTTGAGGGTGGGCATGACTGGACCTGAAGGAACTATTCTGGGCTATCCACTTAAGCAGGGGTCTGCAGCAAAAGCTACTTTAATAAGATTCTTCCTTATTTTGTTCTGGGATCAAGCAACCTTACAGCCTAAGTCATTCCTCTATCTGTTCACACACAGCTACCAGCCTGAGTCCTTTAGCTTTGGAAGGACTCACTTTTACTCTCCTGCAGTTGATACAGAAGCAGAGATGACTGACATTTGCCTTACTTATGGACGCTGGACATGGGGCAAGGACTCAGGAGTTGAGATGTTGCACTGAATTGTCACAAGGCCCCAGAGGTTCTCAAAGGCAGATCATCCCTGGCTCTGGTTCTGGAGGGAGATGACACTGGGCAGTGAGTGAGCTGCTGCAGTGGGAGGAGGAGCCCTTCCTTTTTCTTGTAAGCTTCTACTGCGGAATAAACTGGCCAGGTCCCATGGTGTCAATCTGCCCTAATATTTGGAAGCAGCCAAGTCTTTGCTTGCTTTTCAGTTACTCTAGGACCACAGAAGGCCAGGTGCCTCCAAGGGTGGTCCTAGCACAGGCATCGGGTCTGTGAAGCTGTCCTCCCCACCACATGCACTTCTCAGGACAAGTGGATTGCCGAGTGACCACTGCTGTGCCTAGCACCCGTCCCTCCTGACTGTCCAGCCAGGGGCCTAAGGCTGCTCAGAAGGCCAGGCGAAGCATACCTGGTGCTCACAGCTGGACAAGGACTTCTGAGAATTTAGCTTATGCCTTTTCTTGTCCGAATTTACCACTGTAACTGAAGTTTAAAGTTAATTTCTAGGATCTAACCTGCAGTGGCCCCATGGTCTGGTCTGAACCCAGCTGAAGCAAGCTGCACTACTGACCAGGGACAGTTTGGTAGGACTTTTGCTAAGGAGAAAGAAAGGTAGACTACTTCGTATCTCTTGGGTGATCTACCAAACAGGAGAGGTGTTACCAAGCCTCTACTCTTTAAGGAAGCTTCCAGTGTCTCTGAGTTTATGACAGAAAAAGGGTATCAAGAATTGTCAAGAGTATAGATTATTACTAAAGAGTAGAGCAACACATTAAAAAGGGAGGGGAGGGCTAGTTTTTCTCGAAAAGAGGAAGTTGCTCTTTGGGGCAGATGGAATAATTTAGCTGTTTCTCAAAACTCCAGTCACCTGCAGGGGTTCACGAGGACTCCTGCATGAAAAGTGTGAAAGTTTGCACAAAGTGAAACATACAACCCCAGCCCTGTCACTCACTTGCCGGAATGAGAGGATGCACCTCCCTGCTTGATGTAAAAAACATCTCAATCTGTACTATGTCCTGTAGAAGTCTGTCACTTTCATGCTGCTCAAATCTAATAACCGCAGTCTTAAACTCTCAGATTTCTCAGATTGCTAATTAGAGCCCATGTCTGGGGAGCAAGCCTCACTCAAGTAAGTCTGCAGATCCTGAAACTGAGGCTAAGGAGAAGGCAGAATCTCTATTGGGTAAATGGGGGGCAACTTTAGCGTCCCTGTCTCCACTTCTCTCCCCACGTTGTTCCGAAAAGGCGCGCGTTCTAGGAAAACAGTGCCGCCGATACAAACACCCTCCCAAAGCAGGGCCCCGAACAGCCCCTTCCAACCCCATTTCACTCCCAGACATCTTGGAGCTGCACCAAGAGCAGAAAGGGAACGCAGCAAGAAAGGGAGCGGGGGCTGGGAATAGGGAACGAGGAGAGCCTGAGGATGGAGGAAACGAGAAGGGGCAGGAGGCATCCCTTGGTCCTACCTACACACGGCGAGTCCCCGACGCGGCCGACCATTTTATTAACGAGACCCCCTGTAGAGGTTGCGTAGGCCACATTCCCTTTGCAGTCCAAGGCAACAGCACCCACAGTTTCCAAGTTTCCGCTAAAAATAAACAGAAAAAAGGGACAGGCTGAAAATGAGAATGAACCCCATAACCAACAATGTCACTTCGAACCACTTAAGTCTCATGTTTTATGGTAATGGCAAATGAGGCACCCTTTAACTCCAACATTCTAGAGAGAACCTGCCTGCTTCTTATTCTACATGTAAGTTACAGGTGGATTGCTGGACACTCCTCTACACCTCAGCTTTAAGAGCACATCCGATCCCAGCACCACCGTTTGGTAGCTGTGACCTTAAGTTTTGTTTTGTGTCTCATTACCCTCATCATAAAATGTGGATAAAAAGAAGAGTGCATCTCAAACATTAGTGTGAATAAGAATCCCTTGGATCCTTGAGCCCACAGAGATTCTGAAGCTGCCACCAAGAGGAGAAAGGAAAGGAAAAAGTGAGTTGGTAGATACGGGGTGGGACCCATTATCCTGCGGGATTTTTTTGCTTTTTGGTTTCTTTTTTTTATTTTGAAATGGAGTCTCACTCTGTTGCCCAGGCTGGAGTGCAGTGGCACAATCTTGGCTCACTGCAACCTCCACCTCCTGGGTTCAAGAGATTCTCCTGCCTCAGCCTCCTGAGTAGAGAAATGTATTTTCATCAAAAAATAAAGAGCTAATCTAAAAAATTTAAAAAAAAAAAAAAAAAAGTCAGCCAGACATGGTGGCTCATGCCTGTAATCCCAGCACTTTGGGAGGCCAAGGTGGGCGGATCACCTGAGGTCAGGAGTTTGAGATCAGTCTGGCCAACATGGTGAAACCCTGTCTCTTCTAAAAATTCAAAAATTAGCCAGTCCTGGTGGCACACACCTGTAATGGCAGCTACTTGGGAGGCTGAGGCAGAAGAATTGCTAGAACCCAGGAGGCACAGGTTGCAGTGAGCCACTGCACTCACACCTGGGAGACAGAGTCCGATTCTGCCTCAAAAAGAAAAAAAAAAAAAAAAGAAAAAAAAAAAAAAAAACTAATCTGCAGGTATAATTTCCAAAAAGTTACAAAAGTAATTGTAAAATATACGTAATTTTTCTTAATATTAAAACATGAATTGCAATTAGTAAATGTAATACATCAATGTTAAATTACAAAAAAGCTAAAAACTTTAACACTGTAGTTTTGAAATTAACTAAATCTTTTAAATATTTTTATCAAAATAAAACCATTCGTAGTTATAATATTCAATATCCATGTAGTGGCTAACATGGAGAGTTGGCTCTTCACACAGGTTCTGTCTAGACCTGTGCTGTCCATTTATAGAAGCTGCAGCTACCTGTGGCGACTGAGTGGCTGCTCGCTAACTGTGGCCGTCCCCAGTGACACCTACTCTAAGAGTAAAACATACATCAGATTGTGAAGATTTAGCATAAAAAAAGAGTAAGACATCTTATAATTTCTTATATTCATTACATGTTGAAATGATATTTTGGACATATTTGGTTAAATAAAATATATTATTAATTTCACCTTTTTGAGGGGTTTGGTGTTTTTTTTTTGAGATGGAGTTTCACTCTTGTTCCCCAGGTTGGAGCACAATAGAGTGATCTCAGCTCACTGCAACCTCCACCTCCCAGGTTCAGGTGATTCTCCTGCCTCAGCCCCCTAAGTAGCTGGGATTACAGGTGTGTGCCACCATACCTGGCTGGCCGCTCCACCTCAGATCTATTTAAATATGATTCTTCTAGTGGGGTGACCTAAACATGTATATTTTGAAAAAGCTCCCAAGGTGATACAAGGTCCACCTCTGGTTAAATATTATTATCCTGAAAAGCATACAGAGTCAATAGATTTAATTCCATTATAAACTACCAGGCCATATTCACATTTTACTTTCAAATTCTGCTTTAAATACGTGGTCTTTTATTTGGGATTTCAAAATCTGTAACAGAAAACTGTAATTCAGAACATGACTAATTTGGATTTTTAAGAGCTGTACTGATTTCTCTACACTATGAATGAATACTTAAGTTTATAAGGTACACTAGATCACAGAGAACCTGTTTAGTCTATTTAAGATACACTGATCAAGAAGAATCCGGATAACTGATTAATTAATACATAAAATTCTTCTATTAAATCATGTCAGAGGCCAGGCACAGTGGCTCATGCCTGCAATCCCAGCACTTTGGAAGGCTGAGGCAGGCGGATCACCTGAGATCAGGAGTTTGAGACCAGCCTGGCCAACATGGCAAAATCCCATCTCTACTAAAAATACAAAAAAAAAAAAAAAAAAAAATCAGCCAGGCATGGTGTTACACCTGAAGTCCCAGCTACTCAGAAGGCTGAGGAGAACCACTTGAACCCGGGAGGTGGGGGTTGCAGTGAGCTGAGATCGCATGACTGTACTCCAGCCTGGGCAACAGAGGGAGACTCCATCTCAAAAAAAAAAAAAAAAAAAAAGAGAGAGAGAAAGAGAAAGAGGAGGAGAAGAAAAGAGAAGAGAAAAGAAGAGAAGAATGTAGATAATCAGGTATTTGCCTAACTTTCATATTTTAATAACTCCCAAATAATGTGAATCACAGGTAAGACTTACGGTTCACTTTCTGTTTCCTGAGCCTGTTTTTCTCGCTTCTCTTTTTCCAGGAGCTTTTTGTTTTCCTCTGTTATCAGATTTTCAGCAGGAATCTCTGGAACTCCCATAGCTGCTGCAAATTGTGCTGCACCATGGTGAGTCAGAAAGCAATGAGGTGTCTGAGCCAGAAAGAAAAGAGAAAATGATCGGTTTTTGGAAATTTTTAAATCTTTTTAACTGTTCCAAATTCACTGAAATAATTACATCTCTCTGGGTGCAAAGGCTTAAAAATACAAATTCCAGTGCTTTGCTTTTCAGTACGCTGAACAAAGCCTGACTCTCTTCTGAGTTTTTGCACACACACAAAAAAGACCCCAGTCAAGCGTGGTGGCTCACACCTATAATTCCATTACTTTGGGAGGCCAAGGCGGATGGTGGATCACCTGAGGTCAGGAGTTCGAGACCAGCCTGACCAACATGGCAAAACCCCATCTCTACTAAAAATACAAAATTAGCCAGGTGTGGTGACACATGCCTGTAATACTAGCTACTCGGGAGGCTGAGGCAAGAGAATCACTTGAACCTGGGAGGTTGAGGTTGCAGTGAGCCAAGATCGCACCACTGCACTCCAGCCTGGGCAACAAAAGTGAAACTCCATCTCAAAAAAAAAAGCCCCCAGTTGATGGAATGTTACTAGAGATGAGATTTACATATTATGTTAAATTTAGCGAACTCAATCCATTTTTAATACATGCTATTAATAGCCAGTCTGATCATTTTGTATGTGGTCTGAAGATAATACCGGAAGATAAAGTAATCACTCACTGGTCAGGTGATTACTAGTCAAGAATCTTGGCTGATTTGAGAAACCCAAATACATTGCTTCTGTTTTGTATATATTTTGTGAGAACAGTGATCTAAGTATTTCTGCACAGTTGGAGCCCTTCTCACTGAAGTATAGCGGTAACAGTTGGAAAAGGATGTTTAGTCACATATACCTTTTCCTTGACAAGCCGAGCAAGTTTAATGGGATTTGCTATACCCCGGACTGCGGACACTGCTCCTGTAGACAGGTCTTTTCCCTCCATGATACTGGCGTCCATTTCAACCTCACCATTTGTGTTCAAGATAGACCCACAACCTAAAACCGAAAACAAGTTGAAAAGCAAGAATTAAGAATTTAGAAATGGCTCCAGATTTTCTCTAATTTGCCCCATTTAATCCATCCTCTCTTCCATTGCCAGAGGAACTTTTTTTTAAGAAATCTTGACTTGGAGGCTGAATGCAGTGGCTCACACCTGTAATCCCAGCTCTTTGGGAAGCCGAGGAGTTTGAGACCAGCTTGGCTAACATGGTGAAACCCTGTCTCTGCTAAAAATATAAAAATTAGCCAGGTGTGGTGGTGTGTGCCGATAATCCCAGCTACTCAGAAGACTTAGGCAGGAGAATCACTTGAACCCAGGAGGCGGAGGTTGCCATGAGCCAAGAGTGACAGAGTAAGATTCCGTCTCAAAAAAAAAAAAAGAGAGAGAGAGGAAGAAGTCTGACTTGGCACTCCATGACCTACAAAATAAAAAGTACAAAGCCCTTCCCAACCTGACCTCTGACCTGCTTTTCCAGCTTCATTTTCTCTCCTTGGTTACATTTTACTGAAATATTAGGTTTCCCTGAATACAGTAGTCCCCTTCTCTACAGCCTTGTTCTGAGGTCTCAGTTACCCTCAGTCAACCATGGCCACAAATTATTAAATGGAAAATACCAGAAATAAACAATTCTCGAACCATCCCACTCTGTCCCCCAGAGGGACGTGATTCCTCCCTTTGTCCAGCACACCCACACTGTATAGGTTCCCTGCCTGTTAGTCACTTAGCAGCCATCTCGATTATTAGGCAGATCAACTGTAGTAGCCCTGCAGTGCTTGTATTCAAGAAACCCTTATTTCACTTAATAATGGTTTCAAAGCACATGATCTTGGCTCGCTGCAACATCTGTTTCTGGGGTTGAATCAATTCTTGTGCCTCAGTCTCCTGAGTAGCTGGGATTACAGGTGCCCACTGCATCATGCCTGGCTACTTTTTATACTCTTAGTAGAGACCAGGTTTCACCATGTTGGTCAGGCTGGTCTCGTGCTCCTGACCTCAGGTGATCCGCCCACCTCGGCCTCCCAGAGTGCTGGGATTAGAGGTGTGAGCCAGCGCGCCCAGCCTTGAGGCTTCTTCTCTTAGCCTGTAGGTGGTTACTATCTCACGGTGTGCTCACTGCTTGCTCCATGACCTCTTCTTGTGCCTGTGAGAGTGAGCAAGCTCTCTGGTATCTCCTCTTCTAAGGACAGTAATCCTATTAGTTCCGGACTCCACCCTTATAGCCTTCCTTAATTTTAATTACTTCCTTGGAGGCCCCATCTCCAAACATAGCCACCCTGGGGGTTAGGGCTTCAACACATGAGTTTTGAGGGGGACAGAAACATTTAGTCCATAACACAGATAAGGGAAAACGGAAAGAATTTGTTGCCAGCGGGCCTAACCTAAAAAAATGGCTACAAGAAGTTCTTGGCTGGGTTAGGTGGCTCATGCCTCTAATCCCAGCCCTTTGGAGGCTAAGGTAAGAAAACTGCTTGAGCCCAGGAGTTTGAGACCACCATGGACAACATAGGGAGACCCTGTCTCTACAAAACATTAAAAAATGAGCTGGATGTAGTGGTGCTCACCTGCAGTTACAGCTTTTCTTGGGAGGGTGACATGGGAGGATCACTTGAGCCTAGGAGGTAAAGGCTGCAGTGAGCTCTGATTGTGCCACTGCACTCCAGTCTGGGTGTCAGAGTCAAATTAAGACCCTGTCACCCCTCACAAAAAAAAAAAAAAAAAAAATGATGGAGGTTTTTTTTTTTTTCAGATGGAGTTTTACTGTCGTTGCTTGTGCTGGAGTGCGATGGCACAATCTCGGCTCACTGCAACCTCCGCCTCTTGGGTTCAAGCGATTCTCCCGCCTCAGACTCCTGAGAAGCTGGGATTACAGGTGCCTGTCACCATGCACAGCTAATTTTTGTATTTTTAGTGAAGACAGCATTTCACCATGTTGGCCAGGCTGGCTCAAACTCCTGACCTCAGGTGATCCAACCTGTCTCCGGCTGCCAGAGTGCCGGGATTAAACACGTGAGCCACCATGCTTAGCCAAAAAGGAAACTTGGAACATCAGGAAGGAAGAAAGAATAAAGGAAAAAGTGGGAGGAAAAGGGTAAATATGACAGACTTTCCTTCTCCTCTTGAATTTTCCAAATTATGTCTGCCATTTAAAGCAAACATGATAACACTGTCTGAAGTGGTTCTCAATGTACATAGTGGAAATATCTCAGAGAACTATACGATCAGCAGGGGAAGGTAAAGGGACCAAAAAGAAAGGTAAGGCTTCTACAGGCTGCTAACCTACTTTTTAGAATGTAGTAAGTTACATGTGTTTATCCATCTACAGCATAATATCTAGAGCAAACACCTAAAAAATCTATACAAAGAGATACACTCAAAAAAAAAATAATACAGGTAAAATAAAATGAAATTCTAAAAAATGCTCGAATAACCCATAGGGAGGCAAGAAACAGAAAGCAAAACCAGCAAACAGAACACTAGACACACAATAGCAGGTTTACACCTCAGTGTATCAGTGATTATATAAAATGCAAATCTTCTAAATACACTAATTAAAAGCCAGGTATAGGCAGAGTGGATAATTTTATTTTTATTTTTTGGAGACAGAGTCTTGCTTTGTTGCCCAGGCTGGAGTGCAGTGGTACGATCTTGGCTCACCGCAACCTCTGCCTCCCAGGTTCAAGCAAATTCTCCTGCCTCAGTCTCCTAAGTCGCTGAAACTACTGGCGTGTGCCACCATGCTCGGTTAATTTTTGTTTTTAGTAGAGACAGGGTTTCACCATGTTGGTGAGGCTGATCTCCAACTCCTGGCCTCACGCGATCTGTCTGCCTTGGCCTCCCAAAGTGCTGGCATTACAGGCGTGAGCCACTGTGCCTGGCATTGGTAAAAAATTTGACCCAGCTATATGCTGTCTACCACATGACCCAGAAATCACAATCCTGGGCATTTATCCCAGAGGTATGGACATTTATGTTCATATAAAAACCTGTTCATGAATGTTCATGGCAGCTTTATTTGTAATAGTCCCAAACCAGAAACAACCAAAATATCCTTTACCAGGTGAATGTGTAAATAAACGGTGGCGCACCTATACTAGATAACACTATTCAGCAACAAAGGAATAAATCATATGGGCAACAACTTAGATGGATCTCAAGGGCAAACATCCTTTTGTAAATGAAGAAAGCCATTTCCAAAAGGTCACATACTGTATGATTCTGTCAGAGGCGTTTGAACCAGAGCAACTTCATCTTGAATAGGAGCTGGGTAAAACAAGGCTGAAACCTACTGGGCTGCGTTCCCAGATGGTTAAGGCATTTTAAGTCACAGGATCAGACCAGAGGTCAACACAAGATACAAGTCATAAAGACCCTGCTGATAAAACAGGCTGCAGTAAGGAAACCAGGCAAACCCCACCAAAACCAAGATGGCCACGAGAGTGACCTGTGGTCATCCTCACTGCTGCACTCCCACCAGCTCCATGACAGTTTACAGATGCCATGGCAACGTCAGGAAGTTGCCCTACATGGTCTAAAAAGGGGAGGCATGAATAATTCACTCGTGTTTAGCATATCATCAAAAATAACCATAAAGATGTGCAACCAGCAGCTCTCAGGACTGCTCTGCGAGGGAGGAGCCATGCTTCAGTCCTTCACTTTCCTAGTCAACCTGCTTTAACTTTACAGATTCGCCCTGAATTCCTTCTTGCACGAGATCCAAGAAAACCTCTCTTGGGGTCTGGATCAGGACCCATATCTAGTAACAATTAAATTTATAGAACATTCTCAAAACAATAAAATGATAGTGACAAGAAACAGATAAGTGATTGCCAGTTGTTAGGAAGGATGTCACACTGTGATTTCTACTGAGAAACGCATAATTGGCCCTCGGTATCCGTGGGGAACTGGATGTAGGACCCCTGGAAATACTGAAACTGCCTTTGCAAAAATTATTCAGTGAGAAAATTATCAAAATGAAAGAAATCTGAGTTAACATACCATCCTATCTTGTCTTTCCCTTAATTATTCCTGGGCTACTGGGTGGAGCTAACTTTGAGAAACATTTAGGCTATAGTTCAAAGGATAACACACCTTGCCCAAAACACAACTGCTTTTGTAAAGTGAATGAAAGTTCATCTAGGCTGGGCGAGGTGGCTCATGCCCATAATCCCAGCACTTTGGGAGGCTGGGGTGGGTGGAACATAAGGTCAGGAGTTGGAGGCCAGCCTGGCCAACATGGTGAAACCCCATCTCTACTAAAAATACAAAAATTGGCGGGGCATGGTGGCGTGTGCCTGCAATACCAGCTATTCAGAAGGATGAGGCAGGAGAATCGCTTGAACCTCGGAGATGGAGGTTGCAGTGAGCCAAGATAGCATCATTGCACTCCAGTCTGAGCAACAGAGCAAGACTCCATAACAAAAAAAAAAAAAAAAAAGGAAAGAAAGAAAGTTCAAGCTGGGGGAGGAGGAAAGCCTGATTCTAAAGAGGTGTAGAGACACCCACCTGGACCTGCCAACCCCCTCACCTGTAGCCTCGCTCAGAAGCAATTCAGTGCACAGGAGAAAAGTTTTGACTCCCTTTCATTTTATTTTGTTTTTGCTCTTTTTTTTTTTTTTTTTTTTTTTTTTGAGGTGGAGTCTCGCTTTGTTGCCCAAAGCTGGAGGACAGTGGTGCAATCTCAGCTCACTGCAACCTCTGTCTCAGAATCTCGAGTTCCACGAAAAACTAAAAATAGAGCTACCATATGATACAGCAATCCCACTGCTGGGTATACGCCCAAGAGAAAGGAAATCGGTATATGGAAGAGTTATTTGCACTCCTTGCTTCCTGCAGCATTGTTCACAATAGCCAAGATTTGGAAGCTACCTAGGTGTCCATCAACAGATGAATGAAGAAATGATACATATACACAATGGAGTACTACTCAGCCATAAAAAAGAATGAGATTTAGCCATTCACAACAACCTGGGTGGACCTGGAGATCATTATGGTAAGTGAAGTAAGTCAGGCACAAAAAGACAAACTTCACATGTTCTCATTTACCTGTGGGAGCTAAAAATCAAAACAACTGAACCTATAAAGATAGAGAGTAGAAAGATGGTTAGCAGAGGCTGGAAGGATAGCAGAGGGGTTGCAGAAGGGGGGATAGGTAATGCGCACAAAAATAGAATGAGTAAGATTTAGTATTTGATAGCACGACAGTGACTATCATCAATAATTTATACATTTTTAAATAACTAAAAGAATATAATTGTTTATAACACAAAGGATAAATGCTTGAAGGGATGGATATCCCATTACCCTAGTTTGCACTGCATGTCCGTATCACAATATTTCACATACCCGCTTAAGTAAATATACCTACTTGTATCTCAGAATCACCTGGGAATCTTCAAAACAAAGAAACAAATTACAATTCCCAAACCCCACCACAGACCTTTACCTTATTGATTCTACACTATAAGTCCAGAAAAAGAGTAGATAAATGAAAAAAAAAATCCTGTTCACTCAAAGATTCTCTAACAGCTTATCAAATTGAATTGTAGAGAAAATAAATATCTATAAAGTGCTGTGTCAATATTGTTGAGCTCTAGTGAAAACAAATGGTCATTATTTGGTTGCCAATCTAAGGAAGTTTTTTTTTTTTTTTTTTTTTGAAGGAGTTTCGCTCTTGTTACCCAGGCTGGAGTGCAATGGCGCGATCTCGGCTCACCGCAACCTCCGCCTCCTGGGTTCAGGCAATTTCCTGAGTAGCTGGGATTACAGGCATGTGCCACCATGCCCAGCTAATTTTTTGTAGTTTTAGTACAGACGGGGTTTCACCACATTGACCAAGATGGTTTCGATCTCTTGACCTCATGATCCACCCGCCTCGGCCTCCCAAAGTGCTAGGATTACAGGCATGAGCCACCGCGCCCGGCCAGGAAGTTTTTAAAGAATATTTCTAGCATTCAGATTTACAAGTTCAATCTTTACAGTGTTGGTATCTAAAAATAAACACTTTTTAATAAACTATTATGAAACTAGCTTTAAACATAATGTAAAATCCATATCGTAACAGGAATAGAATGTAAACATAATGTTTTTACAAATGTTCAGGTAAGTTGTGTCATGAATGCTAATTATTGCCACTGAACTCAATACCTACTAGGATCAGCTTTGTGTATGAAGTTCCCAAACAGTTACTTATTCTAGAGGATTATGGCAGAGACTGCTGGGAATATCGTTTGCCTGTACGGAAAGGTTCGCAGTATGCTGTTCAAAGTCCCACCTTTCCCCCCAGAATCTTTTTTTTCCTTCTTTTCAGCTCTACTCTTTTCTTCCTCAATGTGCTGAATAGCAGACATTTGAAAGATGGGAGGGGAGACATTGAGAAGGCCTCTGGATAGAGAGCAAAAAAAATGAGAACTAGCTGCTCCAATTCCCTAATCCGTACTTCCCAATTCATGCAGATGAGGAATTGTTAGAATAAGAGACGGGAAACCAGAACGACCCATTTCAAATAAAGGTCCTGTGTAAATAAGTGAGGGTTTGTCAGCCCAGGGGCTTGAGTGCTAAGAGGCAATGGTTTAACAAGTCACCCACAGAAAGAGCTGGCTGCTCCCTCTGCTGGCAAAGTCAGTCCCTATCCAGTAAATTACAGCTTGGTAACTCGTGAGTTAATCATTTAATGTTCATTATGAGTTAACTTGAGTTAGTTTAACTCAAGTCAACCAACTCAAGTGAGTTAAATGATCAACTCATTTAATGTTCAGATTAAATATTATCAAGTAAATTTCTTAGACTACTGCCTGACACATGGTAGATAATCCCGTTAGCTATAATGATTAGTATTCTAACAAAGGGTGGACTGGCCAGGCACCGTGGCTCATGCCTGTAATTCCAGCACTTTGGAAGGCTGAGAAGGGTGGATCACCTGAAGTCAGCTTGTTGTTCAAGACCAACCTGGCCAACATGGTAAAACCTTGTCTCTTAAAAAAAAAGGTGGGCGGGGGGAATGGGGGCTGACTGAGTGAAAGAAGCAAAACACAAAAGAATACACTCTACATCCCAAAGTTAACCTGAAAACTTTGGAACCTTGTGGGGGTGATAAGACATACCTCATTATTCCCTCCTCCCTTTTGGAATTCAGGCCCAGCTGACCAGCACTAACATTAAAACAGATCTTAAGACTGACAAAACCGACTTTGTTTGTAGCAATAAGATACCAAATTCCAGCAGGACTCTAGTATGACATCACATGACACATAGTAAGCCCTGAAAGTGAACTATTTTTACCCCAAATTATGTTTCTTTGCCGTATCTTGAAGTAGTCCTGCAAAGCTACCTCTTGCAGGGAAAATCTACATTCTGAAGAGATTCGCCTTCCTTTTCCAGGCCTTTTTCCTGATTCAGGAGAGAATCAACTCTGATAAGAAACATTTGCAATTTATTATCTTAATAACCAGAAGGCTTCCTCTGCATAAGGGGAGTCTTGGTCTCCCGAACCCCTTATCCTAAGGAGACATTCCTTTTTTTTTTTTTTTTTTTTTTTTTGAGATGGAGTCTAGCTCTGATGCCCAGGCTGGAGTACAGTGGTGTGATCTCAGCTCACTGCAACCTCTGCCTCACAGGTTTAAGTGACTTTCCTGCCTCAGCCTCCCAAGTAGCTGGGATTACAGGCTCCCACCTCGATACGTGGCTAATTTTTATTTCATTTTTAGTAGAGATGGGGTTTCGCCTATTGGCCAGGCTGGTCTGAAAATGCTAACCTCAGGTGATCTGCCAGCCTTGACCTCCCAAAGTTCTGGGGTTACAGGTGTGAGTCACCGTGCTCAACCACCTTCTATCAATTCCATCTGCAGCCACAAGTCCTTATATAATCCAGACATTCCATTCTATGGATTATAGGTCTTTAGACAAAACTTTAAACCAAGTGTCATCAGAAAATCTTTGAATCTACCTATGACCTGGAAGCCACCCTCCCACCCAGTAATCCCACATTTCCAGATGGAACCAATGTACATCTTATATGTCCTGATAGACATATAAGATGTCTTTTGTCTCCCTAAAATGTATAAAACAAGCTGTAGCCCAACCACCTTGGGCACAAGTTCTCAGGATTTCCCAAGAGCTGTATCACAGGCAATTGGTCACTCATATTTGGCTCAGAATAAATCTCTCCAAATATTTTAGCATTTGACTCTTTTCATCACAGGTGAAAAATAAAATACTGTTTTCTTTTTTTACATATGTAGTTTCACCCCAAAGTTCATTAGATTCCCCGACACTTTACACAGGTTCTATTTATTCTGAGGGAGGAGCCTGACCGGACTGACATTATTGACTAGCTGAAAGGCACATTTACCTGCGTTGAAGTCCGGATTGTCTTCCAGGGTGACCACAGCTCCCTCCACGGCGTCCACGGCGCTGCCGCCCTCCCGGAGGATGCAGTAGCCCACGGTGGCGGCTCTGATGATGCCCTGGCGCAGTCGCTCCTTCACATCCTCGGACACGGGGCCAGCTCCGCCGTGGACCACCAAGACGGGGTTCATGTCGGCGGATCCTAGGCAGCAGGAAAACGAAAGCGTCGTCCAAAGCCAGCCCAAGGAAGCCGCGGGGACACAAGGTCCTCGGGAGATCTCGTCGGGACAGCGCCCAGTCTCTACTTTGGGAGGTCGGGTTGACAGCGTCGGGTGGGAAGGGGCGGCTCGGTCGAGCTTGGTACAAAGAGCCCAGGGGGCCCCGCGCTCTCCCGCGTTCCTCTCTGCCCCGGCCCGGACCTGCTGGGGCCTCAGTTTCCCCGGGGACGTTGCCCCCGCGCCCACCGCCGCCCGCTCCAAGCCCCGACACCGAGGGAGGATGTATATTTCGCCTTCCGGAAAATGTCTATTTTCGTTCGCCCTCCCCAGTCTCGGCAGGCTGCTCCGGGAGGACCGCGGACTTACTGAGGGCACCGCGGGAGCCGGACGCCGAAGCCTCAGGCTGGGTCCAGCGCTCCCCGCAGCGGCCCAGCCCCGCCGCTCAGCGGAGCCGGCTGGAAACTGCTCAGCCGGCATCTGCTCCAGCCGCCACGGCTCTGCGCAGGCGCACGAGGGCGGGGCCCCCGCGCCGCCCAATTCCCGGAAAGCCCCGACGCGCGGTCAGAGCGCGCCAGTCTCACCGCTCTCAGGAGTCTCGGCTTCTGGCCCGTGTGAGCTTCCCAGTGGCATGATGGCACCTTCTTCCTCCTGACGAGGCGGGGAGCTGGGTGGTTGGGTTGGTGGTGAGAAGCGTGAAGTGGCGTCCGACGGCTTTGTAATTGCAAATTGAGAAGTCACGCTGGGCCGGCGCAGTGGCTCACACCTGTAATCCCAGCACTTTGGGAGGCCGAGGCAGGCAGATCACCTGAGGTCGGGAGTTCGAGACCAGCCTGACCAACACGGAGAAGACCGTCTCTTCTGTTGGAAATAAGAATTCGGAATCACAAAGGAAATGAGCACTCGAACAAAAGATCTCTCAGCAAAGCAAATTTACCTCTGCCGAAGGGTGCTACTGCTCGCACCTGGGGTGGTCACAAGAGCACAAGAAAAAAAGGAAGAGCAGGGGTTTTTATTCTCAACTGCAGTTTGTCCCTGTTACTGTGTCCTGTCTCCATTGGCTGGAGTTGGACTGCGCAATCTAAGCTAAACCCAATTGGCTAATTTGAAGAGCGCAGGAGCGTGGGCTACAGTGGTAGGAAGGGTAGTTTCAGACAGGAAGAGTCCTTATGGCGGGAGGGGTAGTTTACAGAGCGGTAACAGATGTGGGTTGCAGATTTGGACCATAGTGAAAGTTGCTTACTGGAACCAAGGGCAGAGAGGCACAAAGAAGAAGGAAGTTTGTTCTTGAAAGTAGAGAACAAAGAATAAAGAAACTAAGCAAGCCAAACCTTTGAAGATGAACTTCTTTTTGTATCTGTCATTTAAACCCTTTTAATTTTTATAATACCTCTTCTTTAAACCTTTTTAACATGTCTTGACTTTGTTGTTCTGTTTGGTCTTCTAAAAGAAAAAGCTCATTAATAGGGAGGGGGGTAATTGAGGGAGTTTTTGGTGAGAGCTGTTTCCATAAGTCTTTGTATTAATCCTTGCGCATAGGGTATGATACAGCATCCTATGAGAATAAGTACACCTATGACAATTGTGAGAAAGTTAACATTGAAGACATGAGCCCTTTACATTTACTGAGTCACCTTTCCATAAAACTTGTGAAGGAATCATTTATGCTGGAATTTTGAGCTAGTTCATTTGATAAGGAGGTGAGGTTTGTAAAGCTTTGGTAATTGTTCCATCGGGGACTGTGTTGTTAGGACAAATGTACAGCATTGGATTCCAATCATGACACAGACTGCAGCTTTTTCTGCTAACATCATGTCAAGGGCTATTCTATTTTTCCAGATTATTTGGCTGGTGGGGCCTAATTGTTTAGCTATCCCTTTCATAGCATCTCCAATGTAATTGACAAATGGCTGTTTATAGTTTATCCAACATACATTTTTACTTATAGTTGACCACCAGAATCATGCAGATTTGAATCCTGTAGCTATTTGATTTCGAGTCTTAAATTTATCCGGTACTCCTAGTGGGATTCCAATAGCATCTATATAAATGTGAGGGTCAACAGATCCGGGTGGAGCACTTCTGTTCACCCAGTTTTGACTTTCTTGCCTGCTGTGTTATCGGAATGCCAGGGTGAAAGGGGATGGCCAATTGGACTAGAGCAAAGAGCCGCTCCAGTTCCTTGGCAGATAACTCAATAGTAGCTTTCCATAATATCACCATACCTCTGCTCGGGTGTGAACAACAGCGGCTTGACTGGTAAGCTCTTGAAAGGCTTGGTTTCACTGTACCTTTTTAGATCTCCGAGACGTTAGCCTCTCCTCCTGTCATGAGAGACACAGCCGGATGACTCTCAAGGGCCGATCCGAAGAGCCTTTAACTTCAGGGAATAGCAGTGAGAGTCTTGCACGCCTTACTGCCCCAGGCTGTGGGGTTTTCAAAGAGACTTACCATGCAGCTCATGCCTGGTTGGTCAGAAGACCATCCAAGTGGGAAAGGGACTATTTGAGCCTCTGGCCTGCCTGCCACACAAGCATAACCGTCACTTTCGGTTATCGTGGGAACAGAATATTTAATCCATTCCAACTAGGCATTTGCATCTTGGTATCTTGTCTCAGCTACTAAAGTTTGTTTTAAATCTTTAACTTCTGCAATGTCTACTATCGCTTTGTCATTGGAGAGAATAACAGTTTGATTGAAAGAAGATTCTGAAGGAGAAGGGAGGGAAGCGGGTGGAGGAGCAATGAAGTGCATCTCAAAAGATCCTTTTGGGTCTACCCCTCCCACCTCAGCTTCTAAGCGTAGAAGCCACCTAGAGTGGGGTTACCGTCAGTAGGGGTGGGGACAATGATAGAGATTTGCAAAGGATTACCATTGTTGAAGTTGGCAATAGGAGGGAGTTATTCCTTTGTAAAGTGGATGTAAGGTTTTGGGTCAACGCAGCTTCCTCCTGGGGAGGTCCAACCTTGTTACTTGGTGGTCCCCAACCATAACAGAATTTCCACTGACTGCTTTGTGCTTTGCTGGTACAAGTGTCACTATTACAGGCAGTCTTGTTTACCTTAGAGGGGCAGAGGTACTTTTCGGAAGGGGCTAGCTTTCTTTGGTTTTGGAGATCTCCACAGGGCATAACAAGACAAGCATCAAAAGTGAAAATTTGAGGTACGCTTGAACTAGTTACATAACATGAATGACAAGCTGGCTAGCCACAGTGAAGACAGGCTATAAAATAATATAGTAGGTGTGGGAGGGTTAGGTGTTTTTATTTGTTTGTTTGTTTGTTTGTTTGTTTTAGCTTTAATCTGGTAGGACTTTCCCCTGGAATAATGGTCCATGACTCTGGAGGTAGTGATGTCTTCTTTGCCCGGGTATGATGAGTCTATCCTTTATTTGCTGTTTGGACTGCAGCTCAGTGGTTAGGAGCACTAGGTAGCGTCCTTCCCAAGTTGGTTTGAGTTTTCCTCTTTCCAGCCTTCGATGAGAATGTGATCTCTGGCTGATGCTGATGTGCTGGGAGCTCCAGGGGTGGTGCCTGTGCTAGGAGGCCTTTAGTTTTGAAAGAAAGTGGAAGAGAGAGCAAGTATATAGTTTTTGAGGCACTGGTCTTTTGTTTCAAATGTGGGAATGTCAGCAGTGGAACGTAAATAAGGCAATCCATATAGCATTTCGCAAGGGGATAAATCAGCATCTTTCCAAGGGGCAGTTCTAATTCTCAACCCAGCAATAGGAAGGTATTTAGTCCATGGCAACCAAGTCTCTAAGACTAATTTGATAAAGTGACTTTGTAGGGTTTGATTCATTCTTTTCACTCTTCTCAATGAGGGTGGGTGCCATGGAGTATGGTATTCACATGTTATGTCTAGTACTTGGGATAGTTTTTCAATGATATGCGCGGTGAAATGGATTCCCTTATCTGAACCAATATTTTTTATTAGTGCAAACCTTGGTACAGTATTTTCAATAAGTGCCTTCACTACGTTATTAGCAGTCGCATTTGAAAAGGAAATAGCTTCTACCCAGTGAGTGAGGTGATCTACTATCACTAACAGGTATTTTAGGCAACTGATTAAAGGCATCTCCATGTAATAAATTTGGACACTTTGGAACAGTCTTAGTCCTGGACTTTTTCCCCCAAAGGGTGATTTTTTTAGAGTTTGCTTATTAGAGCCCCAGGGAGGTGATTCTAACCACAGTGGCACTGGTGATCTAGGAGGAGGAGGCTTGGGGTGGGGAATGCCAGAGATGGGGAGAGGAGGTGAGACCAGAAAAGGAGGGACTGGGCAGGGGGGGGTCTGAGTCAGAAATGAAGGAGGCATGAGAGAGACTGAGGAAGAAGGAATGGGAGTGATGGGGGGGCGGAGGAGGAAGAGAAGAAGAAAAGAAAGAAGCAGCTAACATTTTCTTTCTTTCTTTCTTTCTTTCTTTCTTTCTTTCTTTCTTTCTTTTCTTTCTTTCTTTCTTTCTTTTCAAGAGAGAGTCTCACTCTGTTGCCCAGGCTGGAGTACAGTGTCGTGATCTTGGCTCACTGCAGCCTCCACCTCTGGAGGCTCAGGCATGATTCTCCTGCCTCAGCCACCCAAGTATCTGGGATTACAGGCATACACCACCACACCTAGATAATTTTTGTATTTTTAGTAGAGATGGGGTTTCCACATCTTGGCCGGGCTGGTCTCAAACTCTTGACCTCAAGTGATTTGCCTCCCAAAGTGCTGGGATTTCAGGTGTGAGCCACTACAACTGGCCGCAACTAACATTTTCTGAAGGTCAACCAGCAGGCTGCCTTTACTACTTCCTTACTCCCTACCAACTTCCCATCCCCACCAGTCTCAGCTACATGAGGAAAAGGCTTTTGGCCGACCCCACTGGGGGCAGGATGGGAATCTGTGAGGCTCCCTCTGAATTCTAGAATGTGTCAAAGTGGCTTGAGCTTGCTGTCTTCCAGGGCTTTCAAACAAGAAGCAGGACACATACCTTTCAACTCTGAGATCCCTGAACTTATTTAGGAGATCTAGGACCCTCGAATTTGTTCAGCAATAGGGCACGAGGCTGTTTTTAGGAGGCCCACATAAACATTTTGTGCACTAGCCCTTCTTTCTAACTTTCTTCTCCTCCCCACTGACCAGAGAGTTGTAATTCACTTAGTGATATGGGATAGGGGCAGGGAAGTGCCGGGTAGAGAAAGGCATGGTCCCTGGCTAGGGCTCCACCCCCGGGCCTGTGCCCATGGACCTAGGTGAGGACAGGCACTCCTGCCTTCAGGCCCAAATGTTGCATTTTGCAAGACCGCCCCGGCCCACCACGCCTCCATCCTGTGCTTATAAAAACCCGAAGACCCTAGGGGGCAGGAGCACCAGTGGCTGGACATTGAAAGGAACGGAGTGGTAGAAGAGCGCACTGACAGGCACCAGCAGATGCTGGCAGGCCATCGACCAGAGGAGCAATGCAGAGTTTGGCTGAGGTAGTCCCAAGAGAGCCTGGCTAGGGGCGGCCCGGCTCTGGGGAGAAACCACCCTCCCACTCCATCCCCCTTCTGGCCTCCCCATTCACCTCGATGAGACCTACTGCTCAATAAAAAACCTTGCACTCATTCTCCAAGCCCAGGTGTGATCCGATTCTTCTGGTACTCCAAGGCAAGAACCTCAGGATACAGAAAGCCCCCTGTCCTTGTGATAAGGCAGAGGTCTAATAGAGCTGATTCACACAAGCTGCCTGCGGAAGGCAAGATTGAGAAAGCACCCTATAACTCACGCCCACCGGGGCTTCAGGAGCTGGAAGTATTCACCCCTAGACGCTGCCTT